CCTTCATAAGGACCCTGGTCATCGAATCCGATCTGACTAAAGTGGGAGAGACAGACACTCGCCAGCCACCTTATGCAACTAGTGCATGTCAGTCGGTGGAACCGGTCTCACGTAAGCGTACGTGTAAGGTTGGTCCGGGCCGCTTCATCCCACGATGCCGCCGAATCAAGATAAGACTAGTAACGTCAAGCAAATTGACAATATCGACACCCACAACTACTTTGTGTTCTACTCGTGCATAGTAACTACGCATAGACCTAGCTCTGATACCACTGTTGGGGAACGTAGCAGAATTTTAAAATTTTCTACGCATCACCAAGATCAATCTATGGAGTCATCTAGCAACGAGGGAGAAAGGAGTGCATCTACATACCCTTGTAGATCACGAGCGGAAGCGTTCAAGAGAACGGGGTTAATGGAGTCGTACTCGACGTGATCCAAATCGCCGAAGATCCTAGCGCCGAACGGACGGCACCTCCGCGTTCAACACACGTATGGAGCGAGGACGTCTCCCACGCCTTGATCCAGCAAGGAGGAGGGAGAGGTTGAGGAAGAGGGCTCCAACAGAAGCACGACGGCGTGGTGGTGATGAAGCTGCAATACTCCGGCAGGGCTTCGCCAAGCTCTTATGGAGGAGGAGAGGTGTTGGGGAGGGGAGGGGCTGCGCCTTGCATGTTGTTTGCAGCCCTCCCCTCACCCCTCTATTTATAGGGGAAGGGGGAAGGGGGGCCGGCCCCCTCTAGATGAGATCTAGAGGGGGGGCGGCGGCCAAGGGGAGGGGGGCTTGCCCCCCAAGCAAGGGGGAGCCCCCCTTAGGGTTTCCCCCAACCCTAGGCGCATGGGCCCTAGGGGGTGTGGCGCCCCAGCCCACTTGGGCTGGTTCCCTTCTCCATACAGCCCATAAGGCCCTCCGGAAGAGGTGGCCCCTCCCGGTGGACCCCCGGAACCCCTCCGGTGGCCCCGGTACAATACCGACATGCCCCCGAACCTTTCCGGCGATCGTATGACAACTTACCATATATAAATCTTTACCTTTGGACCATTCCGGAACTCCTCGTGACGTCCGAGATCTCATCCGGGACTCCGAACAACATTCGGTAATCACATACAAGTCTTCCTAACAACCCTAGCGTCACCGAACCTTAAGTGTGTAGACCCTACGGGTTCGGGAGACATGCAGACATGACCGAGATGACTCTCCGGTCAATAACCAACAGCGGGATCTAGATACCCATGTTGGCTCCCACATGCTCCACGATGATCTCATCGGATGAACCACGATGTCGAGGATTCAATCAATCCGTATACAATTCCCTTTGTCAATCAATACGTTACTTGCCCGAGACTCGATCGTCGGTATCCCAATACCTTGTTCAGTCTCATTACCGGCAAGTCACTTTACTCATACCGTAATGCATGATCCCGTGATCAACCACTTGATCACATTGAGCTCATTATGATGATGCATTACCGAGTGGGCCCAGAGATACCTCTCCGTCATACGGAGTGACAAATCCCAGTCTCGATTCATGCCAACCCAACAGACACTTTCGGAGATACCTGTAATGTACCTTTATAGTCACCCAGTTACGTTGTGACGTTTGGCACACCCAAGGCACTCCTACGGTATCCGGGAGTTGCACAATCTCATGGTCTAAGGAAATGATACTTGACATTCAGAAAAGCTACAGCAAACGAACTACACGATCTTTGAGCTAAGCTTAGGATTGGTTCTTGTCCATCAGATCATTCTCCTAATGATGTGATCCCGTTATCAATGACATCCAATGTCCATAGTCAGGAAACCATGACTATCTTTTGATCAACGAGCTAGTCAACTAGAGGCTCACTAGGGACGTGTTGTGGTCTATGTATTCACACATGTATTACGATTTCCGGATAACACAATTATAGCATGAACAATAGACAATTATCATGAACAAAGAAATATAATAATAACCATTTTATTATTGCCTCTAGGGCATATTTCCAACAGACCATGGCGGAGGGAATAGAGGGGACCGGAGATTGGAATGGGAGAGGACGGAGGGGAGCGGAGAGAACGAGAGAAGTGAAGCAGAGTGCGGGTTTGGGACTAGGGTTTGGGTCTAGATTTATGTTTTGTGGGGATGGTGGTGGGGCCGGCGTGGGCCATACCAGACTGGAGGGACGTTGCAGTGGTGTCAGGGCGCGTCCAAGCCTCCCATATCCGCCCCAAATATGGGCTGGATATGGCGGTTGTCGTACAGCCTAGGCATTTGGGATGGGTTTGGGTAGCCTAGATAGGTGGGCAAATTTCGTCCAGACAGTGCCCGGGCAGGCCGCTCGGTCGTTTGAGGCGAGTTTGGGGGTTCTTGTTGTAGTTACTCTTACGACCCCGACTCCATCCTCCAACTAGTTGGATATAAAACATAAACATTTGTAGTAACCACAAAAATTCATAGGGACACGCAGGTGCGGGGCCACACACCTGCGCAAACGCCTGTCATCGTTGATCAATGCCGTGATCTGAGCATTTGGTTGGACAGAAAATGCTTGCAAAATAGATGGAAATTCTTTAACTATCCAACGTCCAACGTCCGTTTATAGATGTGAAGAAGGGTGATACTCCATATCTTCTCACTTGTACAACAAAAAAAATGCATATGTATATTTCATGAAGTTCATATATATTTTAGTAGCCCAACCCCCTTTCTTCTTACTTCACATATAGGATTTCCCCTTCCGTGTTTTCCCCTTCCGCGAGAGGCATAGCTGTGCCTCTCGGAAAAGAAAAGAAAAACATGTATTTTCCTTCTACGGGGGGTGCAGGTTTGCTTCTCGTGGAGGCACATGTTTGCTTCCACGAGAGGCATAGTTGTGACTCATGGAAAGAGAGAAAAAACATGTTTTTTTCTTCAGGGAGAGGCACAACTTTGCTTCTTATGGAGGCGCCAGCTTGCTTCCGCGAGAGACACGGTTGTGCCTCTCAAAAAAGAAAAAAAACATGTGTATATTTTCTTTCGTGAGAGGCACACATTTGCTTCTCGTGGAGGCACAATTTTGCTTCTCTTAGAGGCACATCTATGCCTCTTAAAAAGAAAAAAAATGCTGTTTTTCTTCTTCCGCCAGAGGCACAAATTTGCTTCTCGTGGATGCACATTTTTGCTTTGGGTAAAAAATTGGGGAAAATCGTGCTTCCGACTTTGTTTTTTTTTCTTACAGTTCTTCGGGTTTTTTATGAAAAAAGTTTGTCGAAACCTATTAACATAAAATTTAGTTTCAAAGTCTTGACATGAGAAATTTAACGGCGAATACGGTTCATGTTTTGGATGCATTGTTTAAGAAATCAAACATTTTGAATACACGAATCTACGGAAAAGAAAAAACTCTCTGATGGGAAGGTGGAAGTGACTTGAAGTAAAGTTCTGGACATCCTATGTATTGCACGCTGCGTATAATAGACACACGCTGCACAGGGGCTCACCCACCTAAGCTGGCCCAACAACGCGCAAACAAAAGTCATGTGCACGTGAGGGAGAACAAGGGACCTCCCAGTTCCCAGTAGTGAGCCTCGTCGCTAGCACTGTAGTTGCTAAGCTTCAGTGTCTCTATAGGCAGCGCGGGGTATAAGAACAATAAGTCAAGACAGAATTAAATATATTTTTTGAAATTATGAATGCATTTTTTCTAAAAGTGAATATTTTTTAAACACTAAAATTTTCAAATTTATTAAATTAATATTTTAGGAATATCATTTAATGAAGACACTAACAAAATTTGAAACTCCCTGAATTGTTTTCGAATTTACAAGCAAATTTTGAAAATGTGAATATTTTTTGGATTTGTGAACAAACTTTGAAATGTTATCCTTTTGAAATTCCCTAAAAAATAATTTCTGAATTTCCTAAAAATGAACATTTTTGAAATTATAAATATTTTAAATTTTAGTACTTATGAACAATTTTCTAAAAAATAATATGAACAATTTTGAAATTATATTTAAAATAAATTCTGAACATTTTAAAATATTCTGAACAAAATTAGAAGACATGATTTTTTTATATTTTGAACATTTTTTTAAAAAAGTACTATTTTTAAAAATTCTGAAAATTTATGTTAAAATAAAAATAAACTTGAAATGATAAGAAAATAAATGAAGAAGGAGTTGTCGGCCCCCCTATGTGAAGCCGCAACTACTTTCTACTCCGCCGGTCCCATAATGCGAGTCAAAAAACGTCTTACATTATGAGACGGAGGGAGTAAAACTTAGGTAATTATAGATAGCAGGATTTTAGTTCTATGTGAAGTAAGGACTTCGATACTTTCTTATAGACATAGATTTTCAATGGAATTCACTCAAACAGCTATGGAACAAGAGAGTTGTTTCATTTTTGTTTTAAAGAAATATACAAAGGTGTGGCTAGGTTTCATTCGACTGAGATTTAACCAAGTCTCAGTCAAGTGACATATAGTACATAAGAAGAAGAAAGCTAAAAACAAAATTTTGCTTGGATCCCCATGCAAGATCGAAAGAATATAGCATCGACTGAGACATAACCAAGTTTCAGTCGACTGAGACTTAGCAAAACTGAATATACAAATGAATAGAAAGTAAAATGATTCAGCTTTTTTTATATTTTGATAAATATCTTTGTTTGGGTAATAACGGTGCTGCATCACGCCTCAAATAGGGTTTTCCATAAAGTTCAGTTTCATTTTAATAAAAGAATAAAGTAAATTTATTTTCTAATGGCGACATTTTTCTTGTTACATAGAAGCTCAGCTTGGGCAAGAATATGGATCGATCTCGCGAGTAGTAATCAGCCTAAATAAGCAATTTGTGTACACTCTTTATATTATCTGAAAAATGTGATCTTTTTTTTTGGGGGGGGGGGGTGCGAAATCTGAAAAATGTGATCTAGAGGAAAAGGACATAGAAAACGCTGTCCACTTCAAAACCGGACGTCAGAGCAGAGGCATGAAACCAGCCATATTGGGCATGGACGCGTGAAGCTTGCATGCATGCACAGCTTTTCCAATTTCCATCTCCATCGATCAGTGCTCTAGACGGCCGCTACAGCCTCCATATACCCCGTGCTGCTCGTTCCAGTTCATCAAGCAGCTCGATCGACCACTCCACTACTGTGTCTCAGAAGCTCATCACGCGTCAGGTACCAAGGCAAGAACACACTAACATGGATGCCCAGAACAAGGAGGTCGATGCCCTGGTCCAGAAGATCACCGGCCTCCACGCCGCCATCTCCAAGCTGCCCTCGCTCAGCCCGTCCCCCGACGTCGACGCGCTCTTCACCGACCTGGTCACCGCGTGCGTCCCCCCGAGCCCCGTGGACGTGACCAAGCTCGGCCCGGAGGCGCAGGCGATGCGGGAGGGCCTCATCCGCCTCTGCTCCGAGGCCGAGGGGAAGCTGGAGGCGCACTACTCCGACATGCTCGCCGCCTTCGACAACCCGCTCGACCACCTCGGCGTCTTCCCCTACTACAGCAACTACATCAACCTCAGCAAGCTGGAGTACGAGCTCCTGGCGCGCTACGTCCCCGGCGGCATCGCCCCGGCCCGTGTCGCCTTCATCGGCTCCGGCCCGCTGCCGTTCAGCTCGTACGTCCTCGCCGCACGCCACCTGCCCGACGCGGTGTTCGACAACTACGACCTGTGTGGCGCGGCCAACGACCGTGCGAGCAAGCTGTTCCGCGCCGACAAGGACGTGGGCGCACGCATGTCATTCCACACCGCCGACGTAGCGGACCTCACCGACGAGCTCGCCACGTACGACGTCGTCTTCCTGGCCGCGCTCGTGGGCATGGCTGCCGAGGACAAGGCCAAGGTGATCGCACACCTTGGCGCGCACATGGCGGACGGGGCGGCCCTCGTCGTGCGGAGCGCGCACGGGGCGCGTGGGTTCCTGTACCCGATCGTCGATCCCCAGGACATCGGCCGAGGCGGGTTCGAGGTGCTCGCCGTGTGTCACCCCGACGACGACGTGGTGAACTCTGTCATCATCGCGCAGAAGTCCAGCGACATGCATGCGAATGGACTTCGCAACGGGCGTGGTGGACAGTGCGCGCGGGGCACGGTGCCGGTGGTCAGCCCACCCTGCAGGTTCGGCGAGATGGTGGCGGACGTGAGCCAGAAGAGAGAGGAGTTTGCCAACGCGGAAGTGGCCTTCTAATCGCTGCGACTGCGAGGTCATCATCCATACGCCGCTGCTAAATCGCTTGCAATCGTACAGTACGTGGTAATTTTCCTACTACTACTGCCTATAGGTATGCATTTCAAGTCATGTATTGTTTGTACCCAATAATTAATCTAAGTGTTGTGTTTACATGCGCATTTCTTGTACACTCGGTCTATGAAAGGCAGGGCAGATCAGGATAGTGTGCAAACGAACAACCGGCCGTATGTGTTATTATAGGCGTGTATTTGGAATAAGATGATTTTCCTTCACAAAATAGTACGATGTAATCGGTGTCTTGTTCGTACCTGAGTACATTTGTTCAGTTGTAAAATTTGTTCAGTTGTAAAGTTGCTCGCTAAGTCTGACGGACGATGTACGTTGCCTTTGACCTCCGAATCCGTCCATGGCTCCACAAGCTCCGTCGGGGGATCAGCTTCGTGATTTCTGTTGGCCGTCACCGTTTGTCGGGCAGTTTGACTATGTAGGATGGCCAAAGAAAGTTAAGGCCAGTCAAAACAAGTCAAGATTGTCAACAATAGTCTAAAAAAATTCTCCTGTGTCCAAGCAAGTCATCCCAGTCGGCCAAAGTCCAATCAAGCCTTCATGGTCAATATGTAAAAAATATATAAAAGATTAAGTCAAAGATCAAGACAAGGGAGAAAATTACGTAGTATCAATAGAGTCTATGCGCATTCTCCTCCCCAAGACTAATTAAACACTCTACTCGTGAAGCTTATTCAAGACCTACTCAGAAGAAGAATCTTCCACCTTGTTCGAGCTCTCTATTGGATTGTGAGTCAACGAATCGGGTGGGAGTGGATGATTTCAACCTAGAGTGCTTTATCGACTTGAGTTCTATCTTCAAAGGTTAGAGCATCTTCAGCTACGTATCTCTAATTCGATCCCTCAAACGCCCGTGGACGCGCCCAATCAGTTACCCGATGTGTCCGCTTTGAGTCTTTATATGTCCATCCACGCAGTCACAATCCTCATTTTCTTTCTCATACTAGCAAGATGCCCATACGTTGCACGGAACGTCAAGATGCATTTGTATGAGTATTTTATTTTGTGAGAGAATGAACGAGGAAAGTCCTTATCTGCAAGTGTGGAGAGAGGTGCGGGTATTTTTTTACAAAATTGCCATAGTTTGCTTTTATCCGTCAGATATAGATCGGACGGTCTATATTACACGATGGCAGGCACGCCATCATCACCAACTCGATCTTTTATAAGAGTAGAGATGTCCCGTCAGTTGCATGTGATTGGTGGAGATGAAAAGAGAGAAAGAGAAGAATGAATAAAGAAAGAGAAAAGATGGTCTGGGATGGGGTCGCGTCCTATGTGGCGGATTGACCGGGCGCACCCGGGCGTGTCCGCGAGCCATCATATCCTCCCCATATTTGAGATGGATATAAGGGTTCGCGGACAGCCTGAACATATAGGGAAGATATGAGGGGTCTGGTTGGGTTAAAAAAAATCTACTTTTTTACTTCTCTTTCCTATTCGGTCAGTGGTCCCTGCGCCCGTCCGTTCAATTTGAGAAGTCCAACTTAGATACTCTTATGTGTTGTTGGATTCCGTTCTTGAGTAGGCATCTGGCCGAAGGGAAGGGCAAAGGCGGATTCAAGAGGATGTTGCCATGGTTGTCCGGCAACTTCGGCGTGAAGTTTCAGCACGGCGGCCGGAGGTACGAGCTCGACACCTACCCGATGGCCGACATTGCTGCCCGCATGTATGATGTCACGGTGTAGAGGTTCAGGCTGCTGCGCTTGAGGCTTAATTTTTAATAGATCGAGTCTTGGGCGGCGGCGGAGCACGTCAGGCCAGCATTGAGTCTAGCTCGATCAAGCCGGTGACCTGTATTTTCCTCGTCGTGTAATATTCGGGAGAGCAACGAGGAGGCAATGGCAAGGTTTGTGAGGAAGCATCCCGAGTATGTGCAGAACGAGGTGGAGTTTTACTGGAAAAGGGATCTCAATATTTTGCCGGCCCGGCCATGCACGGAACAAAGAATTACGGCGATGATAAAATTCTTCTAAAAATACATTGAAAGGTTTTGGTATTTATAGAGATTCATGGCGGTGGAATTAGGCCAAGACAGTGTACAGGCTCCCACATGGGCAGGTGCCGCGCCCCTGGCCATGTGGGTTGGCCGTCTGGGCACATGATTTGGCCTCTCAATCTCCCCCGAAGTTTCCGGTGTTTCTTGTTACCCAAAAAATCGTATTAAATTGGCATGTGACTTTGAGCTTGGTAGATATTAATTTTCTGTGAAAAAAGAAAAAAAACTGCCATTGGACACTAAATTAATAAGTTAGTCTAGAAAAAAATTACTTTAAAAATATATAAAGTGATAATATAATAGCATTTAATAAAAAATATAAATAGGTTTGAAACGTATCAACTATGAATCCCATTCCATTCATCCCTAGCTCGTTCAACCTTCATCACTGCTTCTATTATTGTTTGCAATCTGATCCATTTCATTAATTACTTGCACTCATCAGTTCCATCCAGTGAAGTTGAGACAATTGAACCTTTCACTACTAGAAAAAAGCCTAGCAATAGCACGGATTTTTGACCTAGCAGTAGAGTGGGGGGTCGCACTACTGATAAGGCGCTACAGCTAAAGGTTAGCAGTAGCGCCGGTCCACATACGCTACTGCTATAAGTACTTAGTAGTAGCGAGTTTTCCGTAACGCGCTACTAGTATGTACTAGCAGTGCGCCCCTGCGCCCGCGCTACTACTATTATTGCGTATTCTATTTTTTTCATTTTATGTCGTATTCATACACCATTATACAAGTTTTCATACAGTGGCAATTTAGAGATTGTTTTTACATCATAATGAGTTATTGCATCACTGGGTGAATGAACCGTGGACTAGTTTCAAGTGGATCCATCCATCCACTTGAAACTAATCCGCGGTTCTTTCACCCAATGATATAATAAATCATCATCATCATATCATTAACAACTTATCATCATAATACATCATTGTCATATAACACCTCCTCATAATCATCATTTTCATTAATGAGACATCAAATAGCAAGTTGGTCACTAGTCATAATCACAACTCCTCCTCATCATTATTAACTCTAACACATTGTACCTAGGACCTACTTCTCTCTCATAGGACCTACTACCTTCTCTTAGGTAAAATGGCATAAAATAAGATAGGCCCTGACCCTCCATTATGGAGAATGGAGATTATCCCGTCTTCAATTCTTGCCCTTCCCATAATGTTGCTTCCAAGTACCTCCCTACGATTGAACATGCATTTTTTTCCAATATTTGATTGTCATGTCTTCATTGGTTTTAGAAATCCGATATGGACATGAGTGATTTGTAGGATGACCTGACAGTATGTTGAAAACATCAAGGCGACCTTTCTGAAACATCATATGAGACACACAATCCTTCAGGTTTTTCTTTTGGAAAACATAATAATAACTTCGTAGTTAGCAATGTAGTTCAGTTTTAGAAGAATTTATCCAAAAGATGCACGGATGTCGTAATAGTAAAAAATCTTACCATGGCATCTCCATGGATGTTATTGTAGTTCAACACGTGCACTAGTGGCACATATTGACCATAATGTGGAGGAGTTTGATAATAGACATTTTAATTCTCAAGACAGTAATAAATGAGATCAGATGAATTTTCTCCTAATAAGTTAATTCCGAGTCATCAATGTAGTAGGTTATGTCTACCATCTTTCGCACATTCTTTGAAGAATGAAAATAAGCTGTCAACTATTTTAAAATAAACAATATAAATTACTTAATAACTATGTTTGAGAAACTTACATAGTCGTAGAACTAGAAGTGTATCAACAAGGACCCAAATGTCCATATTGTCTTGGGCGATATCAGGATCACCAAGATCCATGGTGACAAGCATACCCTCATGAAAATCATACATCTTGCAAAGTGCTTCCCAATTCGGGCAACCAAAATAGGTTACGCTCTCAGAATTGTACAGATTTACTTCAAAATCCATACCATGATTGGTCCTTAGGTGAATTTTCTTTGTTTCCATACTTTCATGATCTTCAAAATCCATCCTCTCCAAGACATAGCGTCTTGCATTGCATGGGATAAGCTAGTCGAATTGTAAAAGACGAAAAATTACACGTTGAAGTAGTTGAAGTCGTGCTTAATTATGAAAAAAGAACGCTTCTCGTCATTGTGTACCGTTTCAACATCAAAGGTCTCCTGGAGCTTAATGCTGAAGCGCCGACCTTCGTCCAGGTGAGGCCTGTCGCACAGACCTCGATCGTCGTTGCACCAGTCGTACTCCCCCGAGAGACTTTCGTCATCCGATGACGACATTTCCTATGTTCATAATTGAAAGATTAAACTTGTACAATTAAATATATGTACTACGAAAACTAAATTAGATCATTATTATTCATCACGGGTTGACTATCGGTCTGCCGAGTCTTTTCTTGAAAACTCTCCCTCACTGCTTCCTCTCTGACATTTGCAACCGTCGGTGATGGTCGTTACTCCTCCTTCCCCTAGTGCATATCAAAGGTCTAGCACAAGGAGAAGAAGGAGAAATGACGCCCACGACAACAGTCGGGATTCTTTGTCCTCTCTCATATATGGTGGACACACTCCCTCACTGATTTTTCGACCATCGGTGATGGTCGTTGTTCCTCCTTCCCCTAGTGCATAACAAGGTCTAGCACAAGGAGAAGAAGGAAAAACGACCCCCACGACAACAGTCGGGATTCTTCTTCTCTCATATATGGTGCAGACTTTCTCCCTCACTCATTTGTTGACTGTCATGTATGGAGTCTCGACAGACTTAAAGTCAACCCGAAATGTCGTTTAATTATCTTTCTAGAAAATCTAGGCCACTCGATATTTCCTACATATTCTAGCACAAGTCATGCCAAAATTCACGGAAAAATCCAGCATGACCTTTGCTAAAAAAAGGACATATCGAGCGCCTGAAATTTGCCGGAACAAAAAATTAATCAA